TTTTGTTCTATTTTTTATATTTAATTCCAACACAAGGACTTCTCAATGTTTTCTTTATATATATATATATATATATACATCAGTTCATGATTTACTTAGCACCAATCCCAACACTATAACTTCCTAATTTGATGCATTGTTTAAATTTGTCATTCAGGAATATATGTATATATTTGACCTTTGTGACTTTCACCACTGACCTTGACCAAGTAACATCTGGTGACACTGTCAATTCAGTGTATATTACGACAAAATGTTGTGATCCAAAGTTAAGATTAACTGTATGACCTTGACCTTACAACAAGGAGCAAATAGTGTCAATCCTAATTACATTATTGTTTCATGAAGTTATCACATACGTTTACCATTACCAAAGCTATTTTTAGGTTGAATTTGGTGCCTTAAAAAGATCCATTCCCCACAAAAAATACTTGCAAAAAATCGTATGTGATTTTTCCCCAGTCATAAGGCACAGGCCCCTGTGAAAAGTGGGTAGAAAAAAAACTGATTAAAACGTGCCCTTGACCATGCACCAGTAATATTTCAGTGTTCCAAAATTAAGAAAGATCTCTCCAGTACTTTGAGAGAAAATCCACGATGATAGCCCTACAGAAATATTGTTCTTCATATCCAAAAACATTATTGATGTTGCACAATTACCAGGGCCAGGGGTATCCTGTGTATAAAATTTGAGAAAATTGTGTTCACTACATATACATGAAGTACTTTCACTGACTGAAGTATAGCTACAACCAACTCTGACCATAATACCGAAGTGGCTGCGCATGCTTGCATGGACATGTGCAGTCCTATTTTACTTCAAATCCATAAACTAAAAAGTGTCTGTAACTGCATGTAAGACATAAATGACCCTGTAGTGGTCTGTAAATAGCAACTGTGACCTTGGCATTGACCTTGTGGCCCTGAAATACACACTCATCTGACGTTTCTCATACTTAAACTTTGTATAAACTTTCATGAAATTCTGTTACGAAATTATGCTTATTAAGAGTCATAAACATAAATTGAGATGAAAATCTCAGACAGATCTGTCAAGTTCTTTCAGAGATATATAGTGATAACAAACTTTGACCCTGAAATCCAAGATGGCTGCCTGATGGCAATATCAAATTTGTTCTTCATATCTGCATAGAAAAGTTACTTTGTACAACAACTTCCCAACAGGAACCTATGTGTAAAATTTGCAAGACGATGCGTCTTTTAATTTGCTTTCTGGGAAAAGGCAATAACAAAGTTTGACTTTAAAATCCAAAATGACTGCCTGGCAGCCATATTGTTCTTTATATCTACAAACAAAAGTGGTGTTGCAGGTAGGACACAATGGGAACCTAAGTACAAAATTAGAAAAAGATCTGTCCACTAGTACTTTCACAGAAATAGCCATAACAAACTCTGATCGGAAGTCTAAGAAGGCTGCCTGGCAGTTGTGTTTTATTTCATATCCATATACAAAGTGATATAGCATAACAAGGACCCCAAGAATTGAGGTCCTTGTTGTTCAATATCACTTTATTAAACAGGAACCTGTCAGAGAGTTTTAGTGACAGCAAACTTTGACCCAAAATCCAAGATGGCCAACTGGCAGCCATCTTAATATTGTTCTTCAAATCTACGTACAAAATAATGGTGCACTTTATATATAAGGACCAAAAAGGAACCTGGGAACAAATTTGTGAAAGATCTGTCTTATACTGTAGGAGAAATAGTGACACGGATGAACAGATATACACCTACAGAACACAGAAAAAAGGAAATGTAAAAAGCATGTCATCTGATAACGGTGGGATAAAAACAAAGTACTGTGAACCAATATAAACATAACGAGTGTGGCATTTGAGGGATAGCATGGTTTGATATTTTGATAAAGTTATTTTGTGTGGTATAGAATTTGAATGTCATGCTCTATTCATAGTAACAGTGATGGACAGGCGAACACCGTTACAATATATAACAAAAGTGCACTTTCCCTGTACTTTACCCTTTGTATTTTCCCAATTAAGCACTGGTCAGGTGCATTTTCCCAAAATAACTATAAAATATTCTTTAGTCAGCTAAAAATATGTCTGTAGGTCTGAGACGACCTACCTACAACCCTGCAATGAAGAATATAACCCTAACTATATACCTATATATACCTAACACCTACAAATGTACAAGCCAAAAAACCAAGACATGTACAGTTCCTACAGTATTATTATTATTGTAATATAAGAGCAGCCATTTCAGGAAACATTGTATATATGATGAAGTCAAATCAGTTCATATACATATGACATACCAAAGTGTGCTAATGCTTTTGGATATGAAGAACAGTATTTCTGTAGGGCTGTCATCGTGGATTTTCTCTCAAAGTACAGGAGAGATCTTTCTTAAACTATATCTTCATATATATATATAAGATCTAGACGGAATACAGCTAAATCAGACATGCATATACTTCATAGCATATTTTATTACTAATTAGAATTAGATAAAAAAATCTGTGAAATGTAAAAGACACTGACTTTCCCTGAAAATTTGTCTATGTAGGGTTTAATGCCCTCAGGACAGCCAAGATCAAATAATGACGGATTTCCTGAAGAAATGTGGTGTGGAGACTCAACTATACAGCAATAGCCTATATAGCTAGGTCACAGTGACCTATATACAATTTGTACTTTAAGTGTACGTGGTTAAGGTCTTATTTTTGTCTTCTGGAAGTGCAACATACATATATAATTACTGTACTATCATTAACATTGTACAGTACATATATATCTGAAGGATTTTGCACAGCTCTGGTGTGAGCATATTATCAAATTATTAATTGTACTGTGTTTGGAATGAACAAATAAAATTCAGGAATGTGCAATTCCCTGTGTCCATGTCACCGCAAATACCACTGTAGATTCCCTGTCAGGGCTAGTTAAAAACTTCATTATTTACAATGCTAATATATTGGCCAGTCTAGTAGGATATGTCAAAATCTAGTTGTGCCTGTGGGTTAATATATACTCTAAATAATAAATAGTACACCCCTGTGTTGAGATTATGTCATACTGGTATTAATATGTGATGTTCTTTTTATTAGTAGTAATTACAGCTTAAAAAAGCCAACAAATGGCGGGTTGTGATTTGTATTCTTCTCAAACCTTTTTGATAAGCTTTTTGATGATAAGGATACAGACCTAATTATATACAGTCAGATTAGACACAGTGACCTTGATATAGCTCATAACACTTTTTAAATTATCCAGGCATCCCAGACAAGTTTGCACTATGTGCACTTTGATAATTCATATGGTACCCATTATGTACAATAAATCACAAGATAACCAGCCACATTAAAAGTAAGGGTGGGTATATATTGCCATCTTTTTTCCAATACTGTGATATGTTACGATAATTTATCCAATATTGTGATTATTGTGGTATATTTTGTTGAACATGGAAAATATCTCTTTTAAAAACTGAATAAAATATACTGTAACTGTAACAGATGCATGCAAACATATATATACATCATTTAAAAGCAATATTTTCCAAGAACTTACTCAAAATAATCCAATACTTGGAATCTAGTCTTGTTTTTTTTTTATTAAAACTATCTCTGTATTTGTGTGGGTTTTGTCCTGTACTGTTTCGTTCGATGCTGCCATGCTGTCGAAAAATTTGAATATGACATATAGTATATATACGTACCAAGCACAGAGACAGTAACTGGCAAAAGTTCTTGATTTTGTATTCATGTATTCTGCTTTTTGTTACGACATATTCCGAAATGTCCATACTGTCTCACACTTGCCGGGTATTCAATTTGAATTTCGACATTGCCTGGACTTGTTTACACAACCCTCTTATCAATACTAAAATGGTTACAGGTAGGTTGTGTGGTCATGCTGGTAATATGATGGACTTAAGAGACAACAGTGTTATAAATATATAAAAGTTGACATTTTATATTCTGATATTTGAAAATCCTACCGCGATAAACCATCAATGGCAACAAAATCACAATAGGATGTACCAGCTATTTAGGATAATGTTAACCTCAGCTCTATTTAAAAGTGTGTGACTACTTGCGGTCACAATCATCATACTTCAATCTAATACAAAGGGCCATAACTCTCTAAAAACTAATGTAGCATACTCTCTTTTATCAAATGTACATTTTGAAACGATTCCCACTACATCCACTTAATCCAAGATGATTTGGTAGGAAACTGTTCAACTAGATGTGGTCACAAGCTTCACACTTGCTGACAGTGGCAGGCAAATCTTAAGTGCAAATTTAGGGCCATAACTCTCTTAAAAATAATAATAATAATTTCTCTCCCTCTCTCTGTCTCTCTCTCTATATATATACAACTTTATAAGATTTCCAAATATCAAGCAATGGCCCCTGAAAAAAAGTTACATGCACACTGATCAATGCTGTGACAGGACATTTCACACCAAACCTGGCTGTGTATAGGCCTAGTGCCTGTGAAGAAGTAAAGCCAGAGCCTTTACTAAAAGCCATGTTTATTATAAAGTGGGCATGACATACATCTGGATCTATTTGCCAATTTAATCATGTAAGAAGGGCATGGTATCCGTGAAACTATATTAAGGATGATCGTTCATGAACATCCATATATATAGACAGATGTTAGTAAGGTAGATCTATAGCACAGTTATTAGTTTCGTTTCATACAAACGTTGCTGTAGCATTAATGTGTTGATCAGGTTACACTATTATATCGTTTATTAGATGTACCAGTCGAGTACTTAAACAATAACGATATTGTTTTTTTACCCCAATATTTGAACAAATACTGACATTTTTAGTATAGCAACTTTTTCTTGCACTTATCTGTTCCATGTTGTGACCATCTGCTTCAATGGGATACACTGTCGTCATAAAGTACAGTATATCGCATGGCAATAGCTCCGTCATTCACGCATAAACACGTGTAACATAATAAAGAATCTTACAAATATCTAATCCCATTTTGTACCTGTTCTTTTTCGTCCGTATCTCCCAGTTTTTTCTTCAACTTTCCTGCAATGTTTATACCGATTTTGCGTCCCTTGGAGTACATCTCTCACTTTGGGGCGATCCAAGATATCAATAATCATCAATTTTCTTCATATCGACCCTATGGCATGTTGCAGGTTTGCAGAAAATAACTTCAGAACGTACATGCACTAATCAAAACAATTTGGCGTTAGTTTAGAAAGTTTTCGACAGTTCGGCCATGACAGTTCCACCGGATACTGCCCAAGTCACGTGACATTTTTTTCTCTTCTTACTATGTCTATAGCCTGTTTCCAAAATGTAGACCACCCAGTCACATTCCTTACATATTTTCATTTAATGTTCTCATTTTGGTTAATTATTAAAGTTATCATGCTTTAAGGTCTTCGATATTTATAACTACAGACATTTCAACAAAAATGTTATTTCTCCAAAATGTGCTGTTGACAAAACTCTGATAAAACAAGTTCTTAGTATAACGGATACATGTTATTCGAAACAAACTATTTTTCATAATAATACTTTTTTTTCAGTTGGATGTCAAAGTGTTTGAAATACAACACGCATAGAATAATGCCAACAATGGAAACTCCAGGTTTTTGTTTCTCATTCCGTAAAATATGTGCAGTGTTAATATCCAAGTATGTCCTAGATCTAGTCTATAATAACCGCGCGGATTAACGTTATACATGTATATTCTAATTCATTGGGGTTACATTTCTTTAAACCTGCAAATTAATATGAAGGAGAAAAAAATCTGCCATACATACTCACGAAATTTTCATTTCCAGTGCTCTAACATAAAAATATATAAACCACTCTATAATAAAACCCAGACTCAGATGGCATTCCACCCACGTCTTGGTCGACTCACGACGTAATCTTTATTATGACGTCATAATTGTAACCCCCATTTGGGGATAATACCACCGCGGACACCGCCCTCCCTCCTTTGAAGATGCAAATTCTAAATCACTAAACTAATTGAATGTTCAATTCTTATATCTTAATCTAATTTTCTGCGAACTTGTATAAAATGCTAGAGCATTGAACGTCTTTCAATTGGCATTCATAGTTAATATAAATGCCAGACGGAACGTGAGTTCAGCATGAAGTGCTAGAGCGTTTCATAGATTTTCTCTCCAGTTGACATTCATATTCAGACTAGATCTATATATCTACCACTATACATGACATTGCCACTCCTACCCTACACAATTCAGATGACATCATGTATACAATGTAGTCGAATCAAGTTTCACAGTAAAACGTTGTGTTCTACTTCATCTAGTCACACGGTAAACATATGACTTCATGTCTTATATCTCATCGTAAAGACGTCATGTTCCATCGGGGTATCGAGTAAAAAGCATCATGTAACATCAAGTCACACAGTGAACGTGTCAATTAACATCTAGTCACATAGTAAAAGTGTCACGTAATATCTAGTCACACAGTAAAAGTGTCACGTAACATCTAGTCACACAGTAAAAGTGTCACGTAACATCTAGTCACACAGTAAAAGTGTCAATCAACATTTAGTCTCACTTTTAAAGTATCATGTAACATTATAATATCTAGTCACATAGTAAAAGTGTCACGTAATATCTAGTCACACAGTAAAAGTGTCACGTAATATCTAGTCACATAGTCAGTGTCATGTAACATTATAACATCTAGTCACACAGTTAAAGTATCGTGCTACATCTAGTCACATAGTAAAAGGAGGATGCTTAATCTATTAACTCGGCAATAATTCAACCGATCTAGCGTCTTATTCATTCGACACAGAAAACCACGGGATCCTGTTTAACAAGCTAAGAACCTTTGGTTGACAAGGTTTAGTTTTTCATTGACACTTGACTGTCGGAATCGAAAGGGAGGGAAACATATCTAGATATCTCAGGATATTAGTAGTGATGATAGAATAGCAAAGACAGGTCATGGACAGGGACGTTCTCAGGATATTAGTAGTGATGATAGAATAGCAAAGACAGGTCATGGACAGGGACGTTCTCAGGATATTAGTAGTGATGATAGAATAGCAAAGACAGGTCATGGACAGGGACGTTCTCAGGATATTAGTAGTGATGATAGAATAGCAAAGACAGGTCATGGACAGGGACGTTCTCAGGATATTAGTAGTGATGATAGAATAGCAAAGACAGGTCATGGACAGGGACGTTCTCAGGATATTAGTAGTGATGATAGAATAGCAAAGACAGGTCATGGACAGGGACGTTCTCAGGATATTAGTAGTGATGATAGAATAGCAAAGACAGGTCATGGACAGGGACGTTCTCAGGATATTAGTGGTGATGATAGAATAGCAAAGACAGGTCATGGACAGGGACGTGGAAGGGAAATGGTTAAGTCAGAATTGTATGGAATGTTTTATAATATGTGACATGATATTTTGCTATAATATGATACATTTTGGTTCTCCCTGCCCCATCCCACTTAGCTTGATTCTGTTTTTCGTATTATTCGATCATATTTTTTTGCTTTTAAGTCATTTCTATTGACAATTTAAAATAAGTTGACTTCCGTAGAGGACGTTGCTAATTTGTGACATTTTGCCAAATCCATTTGCATGGTGATATGCAATTAACTAGATAAAGTATCATAGTGCAGCAAGGTATTAGACACGGAACTAGCGTACAAGGTATAAGACACGGAACTAGCGTACAAGGTATTAGACACGGGACTAGCGTACAAGGTATTATACACGGGACTAGCGTACAAGGTATTAGACACGGGACTAGCGTACAAGGTATTAGACACGGGAGTAGCGTACAATGTATTAGACACAGGAGGAATAGCGTACAAGGTATTAGACACGGGACTAGCGTTCAATGTATTAGACACGGGACTAGCGTACACGGTATTAGACACGGGACTAGCGTACAAGGTATTAGACACGGGAGTAGCGTACAATGTATTAGACACAGGAGGAATAGCGTACAAGGTATTAGACACGGGACTAGCGTACGAGGTATTAGACAAGGGACTAGCGAACAAGGTATTAGACACATGACTAGCGTACAAGGTATTAGACACGGGACTAGCGTACAACGTATTAGACACGGAACTAGCGTACACGGTATTAGACACGGGACTAGCGTACAACGTATTATACACGGAACTAGCGTACAAGGTATTAGACACGGGACTAGCGTACAATGTATTAGACCTAGCGTACACGGTATTAGACACGGGACTAGCGTACAACGTATTATACTCGGAACTAGCGTACAAGGTATTAGACACGGGAGTAGCGTACAAGATATTAGACACAGGACTAGCGTACAATGTATTATACACGGGTCTAGCGTACAAGGTATTAGACACGGGAGTAGCGTACAAGGTATTAGACACAGGACTAGCGTACACGGTATTCGACACGGGACTAGCGTACAACGTATTATACTCGGAACTAGCGTACAAGGTATTAGACAGGGGACTAGCGTACAAGGTATTAGACAAGGAACTAGCGTACACGGTATTAGACACGGGACTGGCGTACAACGTATTATACACGGAACTAGCCTACAAGGGATTAGACACGGGACTAGCGTACAAGGTATTAGATACGGGACTAGCGTACAAGGTATTAGACACGGAACTAGCGTACACGGAATTAGACACGGGACTAGCGTACAACGTAGTATACACGGAACTAGCGTACAAGGTATTAGACACGGGCCTAGCGTACAAGGTATTAGACACGGGAGTAGCGTACAAGATATTAGACACAGGACTAGCGTACAATGTATTATACACGGGACTATTAGACACGGGACTAGCGTACAAGGGATTAGACACAGGAGGACTAGCGTACAATGTATTAGACACGGGAATAGCGTACAATGTATTATACACGGGACGAGCGTACAAGGTATTAGACACGGGACTAGCATACAAGGTATTAGACACAGGACTAGCGTACACGGTATTCGACACGGGACTAGCGTACAAGGTATTAGAAATGGTAGCATACAAGGTATTAGACACGGGACTAGCGCACAAGGTATTAGACACGGGACTAGCGTGCAAGGTATTAGACACGGGACTAGCGTACGAGGTATAAGACAAGGGACTAGCGAACAAGGTATTAGACACGTGACTAGCGTACAACGTATTAGACACGGAACTAGCGTACACGGAATTAGACACGGGACTAGCGTACAACGTATTAGACACGGAACTAGCGTACAAGGTATTAGACTCGGGACTAGCGTACAATGTATTAGACACGGGAATAGCGTACAATGTATTATACACGGGACGAGCGTACAAGGTATTAGACACGGGACTAGCGTACAATGTATTAGACAGGGGACTAGCGTACAATGCATTAGACACGGGACTAGCGTACAATGTATTATACACGGGACTAGCGTACAAGGAATTAGACACGGGACTAGCGTACAAGGTATTAGACACGGGACTAGCGTAAAATGTATTAGACAGGGGACTAGCGTACAAGGCATTAGACACGGGACTAGCGTACAAGGTATTAGACACAGGACTAGCGTACACGGTATTCGACACGGGACTAGCGTACAAGGTATTATACACTGGACTAGCGTACAGTGTATTATACACGGGACTAGCGTACAAGGTATTAGACACGGGAGTAGCGTACAAGGTATTAGACACAGGACTAGCGTACAATGTATTATACACGGGACTAGCGTACAAGGTATGTGCAAGGTATTAGACACGGGAATAGCGTACAATGTATTCTACACGGGACTAGCGTACGAGGTATTAGACATATGACTAGCCTACAAGGTATTAGACAAGGAACTAGCGTACACGGTATTAGACACGGAACTAGCGTACAAGGGATTAGACACGGGACGAGCGTACAAGGTATTACTAGCGTACAAGGTGTTAGACATGGGACTAGTACAAGGTATTAGACAAGGAACTAGCGTACACGGTATTAGACACGGGACTAACGTACAAGGTATTAGACACGGGACTAGCGTACAAGGTATTAGACATATGACTAGCGTACAAGGTATTAGACACGGGACTAGCGTACAAGGTATGGTATTAGACACGGGACTAGCGTACAGGGTATTAGACACGGGACTAGCGTACTAGGTATTAGACATATGACTAGCGTACAAGGGATTAGACACGGAACTAGCGTACAAGGTATTAGTCACGGGACTAGCGTACGAGGTATTAGACATATGACTAGCGTACAATGTATTAGACACG